GTATAATTTAATTATATCTTGCATATATTTTATAATAACAATAAATGAAACAGATTATCTTTGTTTTAACACGGTAACCTGATTAGATAAGCTTATCTTCCTCGTCGTCCTCAAAATTACAGGTATGCAACATAAGATAAAAGTACATTATCTAAACTAACACAGCAAAATACATCTTCATAGTATCATTCAGTTACAGTTACACCAAACAACTATTCAGAGACTACCTGTTAAAAGGAAATTATAGTATTTAACTTTAGACTTTAAACCAATACAGGTTAATTATATGTGTTGGATAGAATGACTGTAAGGGTTGTTCGTCTGACAGGGTGCATCTGACTTAATTTGGTCTCGTTTTCATGGTTAAAATCAGTTTCTCAGATACTGTAAGTAAAATGTCAACTATGTTAGGGTTTCGAAGTAGGTCACCTTTAAAGAGATTTGATCCATCGTTACACAATAGGGCAAGGGTTCCCTAACTCAAATGTCAAGTTTATATTACTTATATTTGAAAAATGTTATATCATTAGAAATTCATCTAAAATTCTGATTCAACCTATTATTCAATCTTTATATTGCTGTTATATTGTAATACTTTCTCCAAAATATTGATATACAGAAAACCCCTTTGGGCCCTTTTTTTCCAGCTAGGCCGGTTCCCATGAACTTGGCCTTTATCCACTGGGTCTTGAAGCACATGCCCATTAAACAATTCAAGAAAAACTTTTCAAGAGATTTCATCAAATTTTCCAAGAACTTCATACTATGTACAACTATCCTTAGAAACTACGACATTGACTTTTAATCAACAGGCATAAAAACGATATGATTCCATCCTTTTTCTATTTTCAACCACTTTCTTTTTTATCAAAGTTTTTAAAATGCAATACAAGAATCACCATTATTTTTATATAGCACTATAAAATACATTTACAAGAATCACCATTAAATATGATATACATCCCTTTTATTACCCATGCATGCTTACACTTTAACAATGAACTCATATTAAGGTTTGATTAATAACAATGGAAATGGATAAATTTGGAATGCCACTCTTACAGTCTAAGGTGTGAATATGTTATTAGTGGGCCAGACAATACTGTTGCCTATAATTGCTTACATCCACTAATTTAAACTTTGGCGTATAGTTGTCTCCTTGCCAATCATACCACATCTCCCTATTTTGATATTGTTCATATTTTATGACATTTAATACCATCAAATTTACACCAAACATGACCAAGTATTGTCTAACATGTAAATAGTGCATGGAAAGCCATTTACTATGAAGGGAAAATACTGATTTTCCATTCGACGAGAAGGGATGAGTATGTTATCACAGGAAAATGCAGCTGAGTAGATTGAAATTGATGATACAATTAGAAAATTCATAACAAAACTTAAGATAACAAAATTTAGGTAGCAATAAACTGTTATCACAGAGATATGTCTCGCCTTTTTGTAATTTTGATAATGCAAATGTTGAAATTATAAAATAGCAACACTTTAACATGTAAGTTATGTAAATATTCAAAGTCGATGAACCATGACTGAAGGTACATGGTTAAACAATCTCCATGGAATGAGATGTGCCAATGCTAATACAACTGCATACCAAATACCATTGACTTATTATAAGTCGTTCCCTTTAAACAAACCTAAACACAAACATTAACTTGTAAACTATGTAAAAGTTTCAAAGTCAATGAACCATGATCAGGGGTGGCCAAATAATCTCCATGGTAATGAGATATGCCAATGATTATACAACTGAACACCAATTAACATTGACCTACCACTAATGGTTCCCCATAAATTGACCTAATCACAAACTAATACATGTAAACTATGAAAAGTTTCAAAGTCAACTTTGGCTGGGCCAAATAATCTCCATGGTAATGAGATATGCCAATGCTTATACAACTGCATACCAAATATCATTGACCTACCACTAGTGGTTCCCCATAAATTGACCTAATCACAAACTAATACATGTAAACTATGAAAAGTTTCAAAGTCAATAGACCTTGACTGAGGGGGCGGGGCCAAATAATCACCATGGTAATGAGATATGCCAATGCTTATACAACTGCATACCAAATATCATTGACCTACCACTAGTGGTTCCCCATAAATTGACCTAATCACAAACTAATACATGTAAACTATGAAAAGTTTCAAAGTCAATAGACCTTGACTGAGGGGGTGGGGCCAAATAATCTCCATGGTAATGAGATGTGCCAATGCTAATACAACTGCATACCAAATATCATTGACCTACCACTAGTGGTTTACCATGAACTAGACCTAATCACAAACTAATACATTGTTGACGCCGCCGACGCCGGAAACAGCATACCTATGTCTCGCTTTTTTACTCCGTCAAGGCGAGACAATAAAACAAGCGTAATACATTGTATATGCCAGAAAAAAAAACCAATTTTGAAACAGCAAAGAAGAATAATTTTGTAAGAATGGGAATTTTTTTCGCAGTAATTGATCATTTTTACTAGAATAGAAATTTCCAAAGTATTTTATGTAGATTAAAATATTTGAATTTCATTGATTTTCAGCAATCTTGTGGTTTTGACCCTTTTTAGTGAAACAAATACATAGGAAATTGCCCTACCTTTTTGTAAACTAAACCATTCAACCACAAAATATAAAACCGAAACCCTGCGTCAAATATGCCAAATAAGATATTTAATCAGTACGTTCGACAAATTTTTGAGATATCTATTGATAATAATGCATGTTGGTTATATTATGAGGTTATCACAGTGCTGAAAAGGGCTATAACAGAAGGACTACTTCAACCATATCTGGTCCTCATAGGACGTAGCATTACTGCAGATACAATGATAAATTTATGACGTTAATACATTTTACCATAATGCTTAATATTAAGAGTCAGCAACTATGCTGTTTGATATGCAGGAAAACTCAACCTTCTTTTTATCATTTGTGTTCCGAAGAAAAGACTGAAAAAGAAGAAAAAAACTCTAAAGATCCTATGTAAAAACTGTTTTATTGGCGACTACAATTGACGCCAGACATAGGTTGTTGGGTATACATGGGAAGTTAACAATCAAAACAACTTTTATACCAAACTTCAAATAAGTCACCAAAATGTCTCGACTGTTGCAATATATATATGGATATTAATTTAAAGAGCAATTTAAGAACCCTGATACTACAGTCTAGGTCAAATCATGTTTGTCTTTTGTTACTGTATAATAATATTTGCTTTTCTTTTGTTGTTTGTACATAAATCAGGCCATTGGTTTTCTCATTTGAATTGTATTACATTTTGTTATGCCAGGGACTTATACACCTTACTATACAATATGGGTTTATAGCTTGCTAAGATGTATACCTATCTTATTTATTTTCTAATAGCCTTACCAATCCACAAAAAATGTGCTCCGCCTGGAGCAGCTGGATACGACCGCAGAGGTCGAACTCTGAACAGTTGGGGCAAGTATGGACACAATATTCAAGCTTGAAACAGCTCTGAATTTGGATAGTGATTAAATATTTGTTATATAACAGAATAAATGTAGTCAGATAACTTAAAAATTTGAAATGGGACATTTAATCTACTTAATGGTCCAATATCCAAAATCTAATTCCATGGTTAGATTAAGCATATAAAAAAAAAACATGAATTCAAACAAAGTTTAATTTTGGACCCTTTGGACCTTAATATGGACTAATTTGAAAACAGGGCCGAAAATTAAAAATCTGAATGCACAGTTAGATTCAGCATATCATAGAACCACAAGAATTCAATTTTTGATGAAATCAAACAAAGTCTAATTTTGGACCCTTGGAGCTCAATGTAGACCTATTTAAAAATGTCCAAATATCCAATAAAGTAATACATGGTAAAAACCTCAAACAATTCAAGACTTTAAATTAATCCTCATTGAAATTGGTTAAAAGTTTTATATTTATTTTCGATTGAAGATTTTTGGCTGTTGTGCAATACTTTGCTGTTGCGCAATACTTAGTAAATCTGTTTACAAACTAAATATAATAATTTACACACCCTGTTTGGTGTGTATCTCCTGCTATATCAGTATTTGTTGTTTCTTTATATAGATCAGAAATAATTTATGTTAGAACCAGCTTAGCCAGTGTCAGAAAAGTCTTGTTTTTGGCCCCTATTTGGCCTCTAGTTTCTTAACAATTAAAGCCACAACCCACAAAATCGACCCCAACCTTCTGTGTGTGGTATGGAATCTTGTGGTACAATTTCATAGAGATCCATTGACTAATACTTAGTATTTGTTTCAGAAACCAGAAAAACCTTGTCCCCCCCCCCCCCCTCCCCTTTTGCCCCTTATTCCTGAACGGTTTGAGCCATAACCCCCAAAATCAAACCAAACCTTCCCTTTGTGGTATGGAAATGGAATCTTGTGTTTCAATTTCATAGAGATCCATAGACTAATACTTAAGTAATTGTCCATTAACAAGAAAAACCTTGTTTTCCCCCCCTTTTTTTGCCCCTAATTTCTGAACGGTTTGAGCCATAACCCCCAAAGTCAACCACAACGTTCCCTTTGTGGTACAGAACCTTGTGGTACAAATTCATAGAGATCCATACACTTATACATAAGTTATTGTCCGGAAACAAGAAAAATGCCTTTTTTGGCCCCTTTTTGACCCCTTATTTCTAAACAGTTGGGACCATAACCCCCAAAATCAATCCCAAACTTCCTTTTGTGCTATTGAACCTTGTGATTAAATGTCATAGAGATCCATTTACTTATACTAAAGTTATTGTTCGGAAACCAAATGTCTTTGGACAACGACATGATAGCAATATACGAAATTGACAACGCAAATTTTTTGCGGTCGTATAAAAACCAGATGGTGTAAATTTAAGTAACTATAGGTCATGGTATGCCCTTCAACAGTGAGCTAAATCCATACAGCTTAGCATCTTTCATGAAGAGTTTTCCATTTTAAAGAGACAACAATGACACAGTTAGTAATTTTTTTTTCAGTTTTATTTCATAATATCACAGATAAATGTAAATAATAAAGCTGTTTATTGTAAATAATTCAACTTAAAGCACCAAAACAATATCATTATAACATAAATATATCACATAAAACTGGACACTTCTGTAACTTAATAGGACACTATATATCTATCAAACTATCTATGTACTGTCATAGGTCTTTTGTTAGTTAGTAGAAATTCTTGTCATTTGTATAAATATCTTGGTTCATAAAAACTTGGAAGTGTTTATTGCATCAAATATAAGGGTTCAAATTTTGGTTTATTCTTAAATTGATCCATCTGAATTCTTGTGATTTCAAAGAATAAAATGAAGAATTAACCTATAACATCCATAAAAATGTTTACTTAACTAGGTATTATACATATTTCACAATATAAATTGAAAGGTCAGCTGTTAAAAACTGTACATCACAACCATTTTTCATTCAAATATACACCTACTATGCAAAAACAAGAATACAAGAAAAAAAAAAACTTACAAAAAATCTTTCAAAACAAACAATCTTACAATAAGCAAAACAAACTATCAAACTGACATGTCAAGAAGGGCCCCTCTCGCACATACATATATGTGAGGTACAGAAACAAATAATTGATCCTGATGCACACGAAGCAATGCATGTTCAATTTTTGTAAAGTTGGCACAAAAACAAATTCTTAATATATCAAGTTTCTTTAAAATCAAAAAACTATTTTTTTATGTTTAAATTTTGACACTTTTAATTTTGGATCACATATTATAGCTATACGTATATCTTCTTTTGTTGAAATCAGTTTAAAAATATGTTTCTCCAAAATTTTTTTTACCAAAAAATAAGCTACGTTTAACCACAAAGGAGTAGGGGCAATTAAGCCCTTATTTGGCCCAAATATTAGTGCAAATTGAAAAATTACCATACATATTCTTAAATTTGTCCTGACTACATTGACGTACAAGGTGTTTAGAAAATAAAAAACAAATTTCACATTGAGTTATCATGGCAACAAACCATCACAAAATTTGTATATAATTTGGTGGAGAAAGCACTAGAGAGAACCACCATCCTCCGGTAGGAAAACTGGTCAATTAAGATTGGAGTCAAACACACCTGACACGTGCAGCATTCGAACTCACAACCTCTGTGTTGACAGGCTAGTGATACATTAGTTTGACTACCTAGTCCTCTCTGCCACTGAGGCCAAGCAAAAAGATGTTTCTAAGACAAAAACTAAGTTTTTACAGCAAATTTCCTCCAATTTTTAAAAAAAGTGAAAGGGATTTTCCTTTTATAGATAAAACAATGTGCATTAAGATTATTGAAAGAGATTGAGGCAATTTAATTTTATCATACAACATAGAAGTGGTGATGGACAGACAGACCTAGTGATAATATGTGGCAGGGCCCTAATAAGATAAATAAACTTAAATGTACTTATTGTGCTGAAATCAAACAAGATGGAACCCCATCCAATACACATCTTAATCTGCCACCAAGTTAATATAAAAAATATTAATCTAAATATTATGAAAAGACATTTGGAAGATAGGATACAAAGGTAGTGTCCAGTAGACATTTCAAAGGAAACAGAAAAACCCTAAAACTTTAAAAAGCCTACTTGAACAGGTACTGGTGGCTGAACATCAATTACATTACAAAAGAAGATCAATCTTACGATTCCATAATTTTGATTGGCCAAGGCAATCCAAAAGTTAAATTTATAGCAGAATAAAATGCAACATCTACATATGAAATATGTATAGAAAAACAATGAAAGACTCAAGATCTAAATTGTTTTTTTCATGTTTTTAGCACAAATGTGTAATTATTAGAATTGAATTCTTTTCTATGTACTTTAATACGATTGTAAAAGCATTAAACACGCACACATTCATATAAATTGTGCTTCTGTTAACTCTTTTAACACCCCAATAAAATTACAATAATAAGCTTCAATCCTTAATAAACAATCAGACTGAATAAACAACATTTAACAAGTCAAAGTATAGATAAGTTAATATCACAGCACAGTACATTGTTATTAATTTACTCAGAATAAAACTAAAAAAAAATAACCCTTACCATGTAAGTCACAAAACCACATTTTATATTTGTTATCAATTCCCCTGAATTAGTTTTTCAATCATGAAGTATGAATGACTAGTTTTAATGTGAAAATTGTTATGTGCATATTAGATATTTCAAAATTAATCCAACAGCTAACAATTAACACAGAAGTAGTTGTAATGACCACATTCCCATGATTTCCATTCTTTGAACATAACACACCCACCAGTTTTAAAGGAGTAAAATCTTGTTAAAATGCAAAAACTGTCTCTACACAACTACTAAATTTAGAAAGTTGCACCTACTTTAGACTAGAAACTATGAAATAGCTTAGTCATCATTGTTAACATATCATCATATGTACTTCCTTGTACAAACCTGAGATTACTTAATATATATATACTATACTTTGACATTCAAAGAATATGTTTTAAATCAATGGGAAAGATATCACGATGTTTCTTTTTTTTTTTTAATCCGACGCAGCCCATATATTGAACTCTCTGCACCTGTTAATCAACTTTACTATGGAAACAAGTACAGAACAGTTTCCTTTTTTAGACATTTTGATTAAAATATCAAATGGTCAAATTACTACAGATATATTTTATCAGAAAACTGACACACATCAATACCTCAATTTCTAATTGTGTCATCCATCACATACAAAGCAGAACATTCCCTACTGTACGGCAAGACGAATTTGTGTCATAGTTGTAACTGAAGACCTGTAGAAAATAAGACTGGAAGAACTCAAAGAATATCTTATTCAACAGAGTTATATACCCAGTCAAACTAATCAAAGACAGATTTGAAAAGATAAAGGAATTAACAATTACCCAGCTCCATACTACAAAAGAAAAAGAAAAAAAAAGAGCTTATTACTACCTTTTGTTACTACATATGATCCTGGAGTAACCAACATTTTTAATGTAGCAAAAGTAAACCTACATATTATTTTACAAAGTAAGAATGTTAAAAAGTTCTCAAAGAAGATAAATAATAACTAGTCGCTGACAGGCAAGTAGTCTGAAAAAACAACTAACGTGAGACAAATACAAATAATAACTAGTCGCTGACGGGCAAGTAATCTGAAAAAACAACTAACGTGAGACAAATACAAATAATAACTAGTCGCTGACAGGCAAGTAGTCTGAAAAAACAACTAACGTGAGACAAATACAAATAATAACTAGTCGCTGACAGGCAAGTAATCTGAAAATACAACTAATGTGAGACAAATACAAATAAGTGACCCAAGCACAACCAAAACTTTGTTAAGCAAACACAATGAACAATGAGGAAATAAAAAAATTCAGAGTTTTCCCATTTTTCAAAAGTTACTGAGACATACAGAGAAAAAATGGAAAAATTTTATAAAGATATTCAAACCAAAACTAAACAGATAAGAACTGTTTCTTTTCAAAAAAGCTGGAAACACCCAAACAATAAGATGGGATAAAAACAGTGTAACAATACGATGACGTTACGTTATAGAAACACTTAACAACATTTTGATAAGTCCCTTGAAGTATGAAAGTGCTAGACTTTTAACAATTGTGTCTTATAATGTTATTTTTATTTGAAATAAATTGGTACTTTATATGTGTTATAGTAATCTCAGGTATAAACAAACAGTTTTATTTTTAGTTTTGCTACTTCCTGTACAAATTGTAGAATCTTGAGTTCAAATTGACTTAATTAAATACTTTTCTTAAACATATACAACCAATGATTTATATACATAGTAATATTCTTACTATACAAATCATTGATACAACTAACTTCTGGAATCATTAAAGATATAATATAAAAAAAAAAGTCACAAACAAAAATGCACCACAAGTAAATGATGAAAAATTAGATTAAGACCAAAAAGTTCCAACAGCACTGTTTTTCAATAAAGACCAAATTAGGCTAAAACAAGCAAAATTGAGTTTATGTCAAAGAACAAAAGAAATTGCAGGTGAGAAAACATTTCAATGAATTCCTTAACATTGGTAATTATTTACTTAATCTGTTAACAATGCAAATACATGTATAGAAAATAGACATGGTACTGGAAATCCAATTCATAATCCCAAGTCAGTGTCTTATACTCAAAGAGATAAGGTACTACTAATTATGGTGTGTTTGGTCTTTTAATTATGGTGGGGAAAAATCTAAATTGCACACGCTTACATTTCAAATCATAGGTTTGAAAGCAATGTATTTACATCCAGAGAAATATTTCTCCCAAGTATTTTAGATGATGGTTAGTTTTAGTCTGATTTCATCATTCCGACAAAACGTTGTTGAATCAACAAAACTAAATAAAACAGCAGTTATTAGTGATACTAAGCATGAAAGAACATAATGAAGATGTCAACTGACATCATTTGTCTTTTTTAAAAATTCACAAGTTGAGAAGGAAAAAATATGTATCATCATCAATGAACCGAAAGAGTTTTCAGCTACAAAGATAAAACATGTCAACAAATTGACAAAAATTAAAGGTAAAGTACAAGTTTGTGTTCCTGCTAAAGACATTCAGCAGATCATAGGAGAAATAGTATTTTAACTTCAGCTTTAAAAGACTTAATTTCGTTATTAAGGATTATATGCACTTACCTTATCAGTGTTTTCAATATTCAATAAAATTTTCAGTATTCATCAATCTAACTTCACATATAATTTTAAGTATCAGGCAAAGGTAAACATTATCTATTGAAAGGTTCTTGCAGTAAGGAATCAAAATAACACACAATATTATATACCATCACCCTATGCAAAAACAAGAGCTTTATTATCAAAAACTGTAGGTAATATTAGAAATTTATAGCTATTTTACGAATTTTTCCTTTGATCTTGCTGACTGATAATTTCCGTTCTCAGCGGAGTCGAGTGATATGAAAATTATTGCTAGAAACTAAGGGAACACGTGCCGTTGTCAAAGAAATTAACAACGTCTTCATAGGTAAAATAGCGATAAACAGATTATCATTGGTCATCTCAACTCGATTGCTTTTCTCGCTTTCACCGTACCGGCTCAAGCGAGAAAATCAATCTCGTTGAGATAACCAACGATAATCTATAATTATACTCTCAACCTTGCTCCTAATAATAAAAAAAATGCATAGAAATTCAATTCAAGTTAAAATAAAAAAATAATATGTTCTTTGAAGCCAACCTTCCCTCCTTCATGTGAATTTTAACCTGAAATCCCTCAAACAATCTCAGAGAAGATGCATTCTGAAGCTGCCAGATTCAAAGTTGATTCAAACTTGTGTGATGATCAGTGACTGGCCTTATATACTTTCACTAACTGTTAAAAGTGATGTGCCAATAAGGTATGGAAGGACACAGTGATTTTATAACATATGCACCAAACCTATAATAACCTTAAATATGCTTCTCAAATATTTATACAGAAAAATATCTCATGTATACCAGTATGAGGAATAAAACTGTCTGGTTCATAATGCTAGCAATATCAACTGGAATGATCATTAATATCATAACTATTTTAAGTGGTAAACATCTTCATAAGTGACATCACTTATTCTTTTGTTAGCTAATCTTAATCCAGTGTATCGTAATCTCATCAAATAATCTGAATGGAACTTGCCATCCGTGTGATCCAAAAATCTTTTGTAATCATCTTGTAAGCTCTGAAAGGAAAAGAAAACTTATTAAATGAAGGTGACTAAAGTGAATAAAACTTTTCAGACTGATCTAGTTGTCTCCCCTTATCCCCTAGTTAAACCATAATACTTTGGATGATAATAAATGCGATTCCTCTAGGAATAGAGCTGATAAAACACAAACTTGATCTGTAAGTCATAATTATACACTAAGGTAAATGAGATCAATATCTACAGTATAATGAAAAAAGTCTCAACAATGTTTGATATCAGAATGACAATAACAGAAGGACAGTCCACTTATAGTAACCGTTATGACCTTTTTGGCATTTTTTTTTTTAATTTTACAGTTTTGAATTGTGTTTTTAAGGGTAATTTCAATTTCATTCAAGTAATAGCTTAATGCATAGATCATTATGCTATCCACAAATTGTGTCATAAATGTCATTTTAATTTTATTGGCTTAGTGTGTGGTGTGCAATATGCGTAAAGGTTTGTCTAATTCAAAATATAATCATAATAAACAATATTTTTCTGTTAGACAAGGTCTATTAGTTATTTTAAAGTGTGAAAGTCTTATCATGCAACCACATTTCTAAGTTACACAACTATTCTCATCATCTGAAGCAACTACAAGAACAATGTTTTTGTTGTAGTTTTGCAGATTTGTTGATAACAAGTACATGTACACATATGATTATACTTACTCTAAAGTCTTCTTCAACTCTATGTCTATGGGAATATTCTATTTGATATTTTCGCTCCAGAGCATTATACCTACAATATATAATAAACTTCACACACTATCTATAGATCAAGAAACAAGAGGCTCTCAAGAGCCTGAATCGCTAACCTCTATTTCAGAGAAGATTTTTAAATGTTAGCAAACTTGATGAACAAATTGTGTAAAATTGTCTTTAAAGGGCAATAACTCCTTAAGGGGTCAATTGACAATTTTGGTCATATTAACTTTTTTGTAGATCTTACTTTGCTGAACATTATTGCTGCTTACAGTTTATATATATATCTATAATAGTATTCAAAATAATAACAAAAAACTGCAAAATTTTGTTAAAACTACCAATTTGGTGGCAGCAACCCAACAATGGGTAGTTTGATTTGTCTGATAATTTCAGGGCTGATAGATCTTGACCAATTAAACAATTTTACCCCATGTCACATTTGCTCTAAAAGATTTAGTTTTTGAGATATAAGCCAAAAACTGCATTTGACCCTTATGTTCTATTTTTAGCCATGGCAGCCATGTTTGTCGATGGATACAAACTTTGGATACAATTTATAAACAAGATACCCTAAGGAACATTTAGTTAAAGTCTGAAGGTAATTGCCCCAGTAGTTTCAGAGGAGAAGATTTTTAAATGTTAGCAAACTTGATGAACAAATTGTGTAAAATTGTCTTTAAAGGGCAATAACTCCTTAAGGGGTCAATTGACAATTATGGTCATAAACTTTTTTGTAGATCTTACTTTGCTGAACATTATTGCTGCTTACAGTTTATATATATCTATGATAATATTCAAAATAATAACAAAAAACTGCAAAAATTTTGTTAAAACTACCAATTCGGTGGCAGCAACCCAACAATGGGTAGTTCAATTCGTCTGATAATTTCAGGGCCGATAGATCTTGACCAATTAAACAATTTTACCCCATGTCACATTTGCTCTAAAAGATTTAGTTTTTGAGATATAAGCCAAAAACTGCATTTGACCCTTATGCTCTATTTTAAGCCATGGCGGCCATGTTTGTCGATGGATACAAACTTCCGATACAATTTATAAACAAGATACCCTAAGGAACATTTAGTTAAAGTTTGAAGGTAATTGGCCCAGTAGTTTCAGAGGAGAAGATTTTTAAATGTTAGCAAACTTGATGAACAAATTGTGTAAAATTGTCTTTAAAGGGCAATAACTCCTTAAGGGGTCAATTGACAATTATGGTCATATTAACTTTTTTGTAGATCTTACTTTGCTGAACATTATTGCTGCTTACAGTTTATATATATCTATGATAATATTCAAAATAATAACAAAAAACTGCAAAATTTTGTTAAAACTACCAATTTGGTGGCAGCAACCCAACAATGGGTTGTTCGATTCGTCTGAAAATTTCAGAGCTGATAGATCTTGACCAATTGAACAATTTTACCCCATGTCAGATTTGCTCTAAAGGCTTTAGTTTTTGAGATATAAGCCAAAAACTGCATTTGACCCTTATGTTCTATTTTTAGCCATGGCGGCCATGTTTGTCGATGGATAAAAACTTCGGATACAATTTATAAAATATATACCCTAAGGAACATTTAGTTAAAGTTTGAAGGTATTTGGCCCAGTAGTTTCAGAGGAGAAGATTTTTGAAATAGTTTACGACAACAGACAACGACGACGACAGACAAGTGATGGCATAAGCTCACATGGGGCCCTTCGGGCCCCGGTGAGCTAAAAAGTGATGTAATAGTTTGACATTGGTTTCCTGAAATCTTACAATGTAAAATGGGAGATAACTCAAATTGCTTTACTGAAAAAAGTGAAATTGAAAGCTTTCCAGCACCATAATCCACTGTTTAAATTATTTATTTTTTCTCATTATAAGTAAGAAAAAAATTCTTGAATAATGAAACTCTATAAGCTGCCTCCTATCTAATCACAATAAAGGAAGTTATTAGTTACTGTTAACTTGAACATATACATGTGTTTAAATGTTTAACTATTCTATCAGATTATTACATGGCATTTTTCATATCAGATGTATAATCAACCCATGGTTCAATATCAGCCCAATAGCCGAAGGCTCGATGGCTGATATTGACAGAGGGCTGATAATACATTTGATATGAAAAATGACATGTTATGGCCTTTTTAACAGGTTAATATATTGATCATTTAAAGTGGTTCTCATTGACAAGTAGAAGTTCAAAAAGTGAAAAGTTTACAGACAACAGACGCCAAATGTAATACATCTGATATGAAATCTTTCTATCATATGCCTCAACAGAGGAGAAAAACAACAGTATATTATATTTTTATATTCACAATAAAAAAATAATCAACAAAACAAAATGAACACTGTTTGGAAAGTCAACATTTGTAAAGTACAAATATAACTTGCTAAATTATGCTTTTATTGAATCATTTGTTTTGCATTTTACATAATATATTTGTTTCCTAATTTTTGTTTTGTACCCTACTTTGTTATGATTTTCACTGAAATCGTACCATTGAGATGTATTGTTCAAAATTTGCCTAGTTATGCAGCAATGCCATGTAATAACGTTACTGAAAGGCATGCAATAATAGCCGGACGCAGTTGATAAATTTTTCATATCAGCCCGCTAAGCACCATTTGGAATTCACGTAAATTAAATGCTATTATCATAATGTAAAAATTATAATTTATTTACTCTAAGTATATAATAAAATGTTCTATTATATGTGAAAAAATCCATATTTGTGTTTTAAAAAAAAGGAAAAAACTACCAACATATTAATATTTGGGAGGGAATGGTTGAACAGTTCATAAGTTATTGCAAGGAAACTGCAGGCTCCCGCCCACCCTTCCATGGTAATTCACCAAATTAAGAACTGTTCTTCGGAAAACCCAGTTAGCCTTACCTCTCATTTAATCTGTCTATTTCTTTTTGGTGTAATCTGGCAACTCTCTCTGCCTCCTTTCTAGCTTTTTCTTCACATTCTTTTATTGTTTTCTCTATTTTTTCTTTCTCTCTGACCAAAAATTTTTCCTGATAAATTAAATATTTATTGATTTGAACAATAGTATACATTTGTACATCTATATATTGTGTATGTGAGATACCTCAGTAATTAACATTAAGTAGAGTTAAGAAATTAGATATAATTTTCTTTGAAAAGATATAATTATATTATCTAAAACATAAAACCTTATTCATTTATGCTTTATTTAGCAGTAATGTTAATACTAACAAAACATCATAAGTTTATATGTTTTTCTGAGTCCTTGAATTTATTCAGTATATTGAGTTAAAACTTTGCACAACACACAGATGGCCAAAGCCTTAATCCATTTATCTACTAGAAGATAACACAAGAGTGCACACGCTGAAATGTCTCGCCTTCTTTACTAATCATTGATATTATGTTGATAGTCCTAAATATAAAGCTTTATTACAACTGTCACATAAACTTAACATTAACCAAGTAAACTAAACAATAACCAATGAACCATGAAAATGAGGTCAAGGTCAGATGAACCATGCTAGGCAGGCATGTACAGCTAACAATTCTTCCATACAACAAATATAGTTGACCTATTGCTTATAGTTTAAGAAAAATTGACCAAAACACAAAAACTTAACACTGAGCAATGAACCTTGAAAATGAGGTCAAGGTAAAAAAAAACCTGCATGACTGACAAATAGATCATAAATTATTTCCATACACCAAATATAGTTGAACTATTGCCTATAGTATTAGAAAAAAAAACCAAAACTCAAAAACTTAACTTTGACCACTGAACCATGAAAATGAGGTCAAGGTCAGATGACACCTGCCAGCTAGACATGTACACATTACAATCATTCCATACACCAAATATAGTAGACCTATTGCATACAATATAAGAAAAACAGACCAAAACACAAAAACTGTACTATAACCACTGAACCATGAAAATGAGGTCAAGGTCAGATGATACCTGCCAGTTGGACATGTACACCTTACAGTCCTTTCATACACCGAATATACTAGACCTATTGCTTATAGTATCTGAGATATGGACTTGACCACCAAAACTTAACCTTGTTCACTGATCCATGAAATGAGGTCGAGGTCAAGTGAAAACTGTCTGATTGGCATGAGGACCTTGCAAGGTACGCACATACCAAATATAGTAATCCTATTACTTATAATAAGAGAGAATTTAACATTACAAAAAATCTTCACTTTTTTTTCAAGTAGTCACTGAACCATGAAAATGAGGTCAAGGACATTGGACATGTGACTGACGGAAACTTCATAATATGAGGCATCCATATACAAAGTATGAAGCATCCAGACCTTCCACCTTCTAAAATATAAAGCTTTTAAGAAGTTAGCTAACGCCGCCGCCGCCGGATCACTATCCCTATGTCGAGCTTTCTGCGACAAAAGTCGCAGGCTCGACAAAAAGTAGAGGAGGAATGTTTAGTTACTTGTTTTCACATCCTTGCATTGTTTTGCTGTACGTGTTATTGAATTTGTTCTGAATAAATTTTTTTTTTATACTAAGATAAAATCCCATCAAACTTGATGTGCATATGACAATTTTTTATCATTTTGGAAAATAAAACTCACATTTGACAATATTCAGGTTTTCTAAGGTTCAGAACACATTTACCGTGCACATGGAAGATACAGGTATTCTTGTGTATTAATTATTTTTTTATCATAAATGACAATAATATCCATTCACAATGCTAACCCAATAACTGTATTAAAGTTATCACCTGACAATGATAATTGTGATGGTTTTGGGGTATTTTCAAGAGGACCGAAAATCTTGATGTATATAAGTGATGTGAGTCAATCTATTAATATGTATTAATTGTGCAAGTTATAATCATTTAATTCTTATAATATTTAAGTTAATAGTCTGAAAACCTTCAGCTCAGCAAAGGGACATTTTTTGCTCTCCCCAAATTTGATCAGGAATTATAAAAAATGATTATAGTGGTTTAAAAAACAATTTTTCAGCTGGAATATCTATTCTAGTCATCTTATGACAGGTATGCTTACCTTTATTTTACCTAAGTTCTCATTGAGCAATCTTTATATTAACAGTTAGTTTTGAAATATATGTAGTCCTTAAAACAATCTGAATAAATTCTTCCACATGAAAATATTGGAATACATAGGATATTTTCATTATAAATTAAACTAAGACGACTGTTATCACCTTTTGTTTTTTCAATGCCTCAGCTATGGCCTGCTCTTTCTCTACTGTAAATTCCTTCCGTAATTGTTTTGTCAATTCTATTTTAGCTTCCTCTACAGCCTCCTCCTTCAGTCTTTCACATTCCTCCCACTGTTCATCAAGTGCTGCTTGTTTTTCTTTTTCTAATTTCTTAGTCAGTTCCCGAAATCTCTCTGCTTCAAGTTCATTTCTTTGTCTTTCAATTCTTTCTGCTTTCTTCTCATAGTACTAAAAAGATATTATTACTTTATTACTAAAAGCTAAAATTCAGAACCATGAAAGACAAGTAGTTTTTTCATTGCCAAGTAGGACAAAGGTGAAATGTTTAATTTTTACTGTTTCTGGATATAAAATAGATGATCTTACAGCTGAGAACCTAATATGAGGTAAAGGGATTATAAGAATAGATTACCATACAGTTGAGACCCTAATATGAGGCAAAGGGATGACCTCAGGACTGATATGCAAAATAAATGTGGTCATAATTCATTTATTATACATTTTCTACACAACTTGTATTCTTCATAACAAATGCAAATGCACTTAATTTTCAACTAAAATGTTTAACATAACTTTACTTTTGACATAACTTGTCACACTGACAAGTCATTAAAGATTGTGATTGGTTGATGTTATCTTAATGTCCAGTGACAAATATTTCATGCATCTCCAGGACCAGAACAAATTAGCAATAAATACAATAGGTAGGTCTAATAAAAGAGGCTGTCCAGGATGAAGGTCTGTAAAATTTGGACTGCCACTGGAAAAAGAGGGTATTAATTATATTGGACGGGGACAGAAATTAACAGGCCACCTATGAACCCCATAAAGAGTTGTTGCAAGGGTTCTCTCTATACGAGGCACTGAAGATTGTGACTTTAAGCATACTGATGTTGGACATTGATAAGTGTTCTATCCAAATGAAACAACATATAAAATACTATGTGATGATTATGGACGCATTGTGATGTCATATGTTGGGCCTGATTGAATACAAAATGTATCAATCATGTTTGCAAGACATGATATTGATATCAGTTCTGGCTTGGTTACAATTGAAATTCATACAACCAACTTGACTTCAAGTTATTTCAAATGGGCAAAAAAAAAAACATGAACACCCCCTGTAGTAGTATGGGCAAAAACAGGCATATCACCAATTAATGTATAAATAACTGAAATAAAAAAATCCTGGCATACCTTTTTAATTCTATGTTAAATGTTAAATAATATAATCCATAAAAATCCTTTTTACATCGCGATGACCTTGAGGTCATTCCGATGTATTGCTATCGCCTAGATTTCCATTATGTAAATTAGTTTTGGGTTTGTAACCGATCTATAAACATGATAAATATGCGCACATAAACAAGTGCAAAATAACATTCCTTATCGTTTGATATAAATACATCTCTTCAATGAATACTGATAAAAATATTTTTGTTTACAACATAAATTAATAATATGAAAATGTTTTGTAGTTAGATATATATATATATAAGTAAAAAATCATTGATAATATCAATGCACACGTACCGAAAAATTGTGTTAAAGCATGCGGAAGAATATCTCAAAGAACGTTTTGCAACAATACCGGCAAGGACCGGTAACACTGTAATTGTTTTTGCGGGAAAATATGAATGCCAACTCGTATCCAATCTTAGAAAAATAGAATTTTTACAGAAAAGTGATCACCATGCATTTGCATTGCACTATTATTAGAATAGTAGAATAGAATGATATACAAATGGATGCAAATCATATATATATGTAACTGTTATTTTAATATAATATATAACAACAAATCAGTGTATACTGATTTGTATCACTACAATATAATAGTTATTACGGTGAAGTTGAATTTCCTGTCATTTATTCATCATCCACGCACGAACTTGTCTCAGAAAAAAATATATCTCTGTAGTCTGTACATTAACCTCAGTTTCAGGTAAAGAGATATGTTCTTTTTTTCTGAGACAAGTGCTTTTGACCATCCTCAAGAACTTGTGGTCATCCATGTTCAGTACTTCAGTACTTTGATTATATATGTCTCAATTTAATCAATTTCTCTTTCATCAGTCATGTAAATTATTCAAGCAACAAATTATCTAATTAGGTACTATCCTAAATGTGAATATTACAAATATCTGTCCTTTAAGATCACCTGGATTTTATATAGTCATATGAGCTATTCCTTCCATAAACTTATCCCATTTTAATCTCCCCCTCTAAAAGCACTCCACAAATCTAACTAAACTTTACAGGAATGATGTATGTGAAATCTTCTACAATTCTTTTTAGAATGAAAAACACAGCCACAGCCCAAAAAGTAAGTTTATTATCTAAAATCTTTGCCTCTAAAAACACAAAGTGTAATGTTTTGAAAACAAAGCCACAAGAAGCCAAATGTATTCTAAGTTCTCTTATCTTCTTTATAAATTAGTGAGGTAAACAATTCTAGCCTCTAAGAGCCCCTGATTTAGATCACATTAAATTATCTTCATTATTAAACACATTAAGTTATCTTCATCATTTTATAGAGACAGTCTTCCCATAATTTTATGGTCCTGAAACCATAAATTATGATATGACCTGATCTGTTAAATTATAAAGATAATCTAAAGTTAATGTACAAAATGCACAGGTAAACATACATGTAGCATAAATTTTGTTTATTCTATGGTAGGCATTTTTGTTGTATTTTGTTTATTTTTCAGTATTTGAATCTGACACAATGTATGTTTTATGTTTTTGTCATTGATTTGTTTTCATTACCATGTTGAATGTACAGCGCCTTAGAGTAATTTTTATTTTTTATATAGGGCGCTTTATAAATTTTCATTATTATTTATTATTATTATTATTATTGTTATCTTTAAGAACTGCAATATCTAAATTCTTATAAATAATGATTATTACATTTCTTTCTCTTTCCACAGCTCTTTTCTTTTCTTCATCTTTCTGATCTCTAAGTCTCTTTAAAGCAGCTCGAAGTTCTCTGGTATGTCTTGCCTCTGCTTCATCTAAAACATGGCTGAGCAATTTTTCTTGTCTTTCTTTAGAATCATCATCTTTAACCATCAACATACGATTCCCTAAGTCTACAACAATGGCAGAAACATGTTGAATAAAGCAAATCTCAAGGTATTCAGATGCTGTTGGGTTATTCTGATGAAGATCAAATAAAATTATGACATAATTGGTAAAAAATCTAAAGGTATATTCATGTACAATGTATATAAGAATTAATCAATTCTTTAAGTTTGACACCAGTTAATTGTATAAATATAACTGTAACAGATCCTCATCAGCTGGAATATGACTATAAATCTTTAAAGACACACAAATAAAACTAGAGGCTCTCAAAAGCCTGTGTCGCTCACCTGTATTTACTGATGCTTTGGAATTCATGTAAAATAAGGTTAAAATCGTAATTAATAGTATTAGATATTAGATATTATATGATATCTAAGATAATAACAAAAAACTGCAAAATTTCTGTAAAATTACTAACTCAGGAGCAGCAACCCAACTACGGGTTGTCGGATTGGTCCGAAAATTTCAGAGCAGATAACTCTAAATCTGATGAACATTTTTTCCACTGTCAGATTTGCTCTAAATGCTTTAGTTTCAGAGATATAAACCAAAAACTGCATTTTACCCCTATGTTCTATTTTTAACCAAGTCCGCCATGATGGTTGGAAGACGGGGTCATCGGACAAATTTTTTAAACTAGATACCCTAATAATGATTATGGCCAAGTATGGTTAAATTTGTCTTAGTAGTTTCAGAGAAGAAGATTTTTGTAAAAGATTATTTACGAAAAATTATTAAAAATTGACTAATTGTAGATCTTACTTTGCTGAACATTAATGCTGTTTACAGTTTATCTCTATCTATAATAATATTCAAGATAATAACCAAAAACTGCAAAAATTTCCTTAAAATTACCAATTCAGGGGCAGCAACCCAACAACAGGTTGTCAGATTTGTCTGAAAATTTGAGGGCAGATAGATCTTGACCTGATAATCAGTTTTACCCTTGTCAGATTTACTCTAAATGCTTTGGTTTCAGAGATATAAGCCAAAATCTACATTTTACTCCTATGTTCTATTTTTAGCCATGGTGGCCATCTTGGTTGGTTGGCGGGGTCATCGGACACATTTTTTAAACTAGATACCCTAATGATGATTGTGGCCAAGTTTGGTTAAATTTGGCCCAGTGGTTTCAGAGGAGAAGATTTTTGTAAAAAGCTAATGACGACGGACGACGACAACGGACGCCAAGTGATGAGAAAAGCTCACTTGGCCCTTCGGGCCAGGTGAGCTAAAAAAGCAGAACAAATGTAAAAGAGAGTACTTCAAATGCTCAATTTACAATGTTAATTGAAACCAGTTAGACAGACATATTCAAATTTATTCCATACACCAAATATAGTTGAACTATTGCTTACAGTATCTGAGAAATGGGCTTGACTGATTCATGAATGAGGCTGAGGTCAGGTAAACCATGTGTAGGGGATATCCCAAGGATCCCATACACATGTACCAAATATCATTATCATATTACTCATAATAAGTGAGAAATTAACAGATATATTTTGACAAAAAAAAAATATAAAGCTTTATATAAATAGTTTACACTGTTGCCACCCATAGATTGTAATCCTGATATCTTGCATTCTGTGACTTTTGTCACAGGAAAAATAATAAAATGAATTATACTAATAATAATACATCATTGCACAATAAAATAAAATTTAAATATTTTTTAATTCTGAATAATGTATTGACCTTTTTTTTTTGGCTTTATATTGCAAAATACTTGCCAACAAAAAGTTATTTTATAGAATGATTGTTTTGTTTTAAAATTTATTATTTTGAGGTCTTTGTTTGATTTGAAAATGGAGTTGGTATTTTTAAGTCCATATATGTGATAACCTTTCACAAATTTATGAACACAGTTTGTTTACTGAAAATCTTAGAGAGATCAGTGACATTCATATTGTAATTCACTTATTAAAGATTATAAACAAACAAAACTAAAGTCTGAAAATAGAAATGTAAATAAGTTATGTTCCAAACAAAAATAGTGCTTGCATCAGTTGAGATATATTAGCTAAGATTTTTTTTAATTTTGTCTTGTTAACTTAAAATTTGATCTATAATGTACACACATAAAATTGAGAATGGAAACATAGAATGTGTCAAAGAACAGAAAACAGTCCAAGGCCACACATCCATGTTGTAACACAATCTTATGTTTTCCCTCAAAATCACAAATGCATGCATAACTGCATTCAGGCAAATACCAGAGCTTCAGTTAACATCTTGTTTCTTTATATTCCATGTATGTATATAGCATATAAGAATAGGCAATAATTCATATTGTAACATTAGAAAATTCGTTTCATAAATTAAGGATGAGGGTAACAAAATTATTAAGTAACCCTGATGCTAAAATTTACATTGCATGATTGTAAATTAAAGCTTCTGGGGGAACTCACTGCAATCTCTAGATCAACTTAATTGAAATATATACCGTATCATTTATACTTTTTTAATCAACTGAAATACATTTTATGAAAATTTTGGGGGAACATTAAATGATTAAATATTGTCACTACAAATATAAAATTTGATGAAATAAAATGCACCATTTTCTAAATTAACAGTTTCATAAACCAAACAGCCACTGTCAAAGAAGCACAGATCTATTAATATATTTTAATATTATCATAAAAATTAGTGTTTTGGAACAATAAATCACACTATGTGCAATGATTAAACTATCAGAAGTCAACTTGTATCCATTGTCTCATTCACTCCAAAACAGAATTGATTCACTAACAACTTGCCATATACAGTGTGTACTAAACTTGTTATTCTATTGTTGCAATGAAAAATCCAAAGGATGAAAATTAAAACCAATAGTGCACTGGGATACACAAAGATAAAGTGCTTATGTGTCATTTAAAATGAATATATTACAACATTGTCATGATTGTTCACAAAAAAGGAAACTACTGGTAATGTTAAAAGTACAAATTTAATCTTCATGATAATTCAAATACTCATACAAACCATTTTTGCCAGATTTTGGTCTGTTAGCAAGGTACTTTACTAAACTTTCATGTTTAATATCCTCTCTAGTAACATGTGCACTTTTACAACGAAATTGACGTTTCATTTTCAAAATCAAATCAGCTACATGTAATTTAGCACTGTTCATGTAATCAACTGATTATAGCATTATAAAAATATATATATGCATTTCAACTGTAGAAAAATAGATTGTACACGTTTCTACCAATCTTTTAAAGCAAAGCCTTTAAGTTACCAAGTAATTCCTACAAGTACTTTAAATTCTAGAGAGAACAAATATCAATGTTAAGACTGTACATAATCAGTTCTTTATAATTAAATTTCCTTTAACTATTTAAATCTCCTCATAAGCCTCCTTTTATCTTAACACTAGTATATCGATAAACTCTGCTAGCTAAATAGCTTTTAAATCTAACTAGATTAGTGCACTGTCAACCTTTTGATGGAAACTCTCACTGGGTTTAAATCTATTTAAAGCTAGAACAACAGCTTTATAAAGAAACTTACATCTACGTGCCCTTTTCCTGGTTATTGATAATAAATGAGATTGTTTAATCAATCTTATTTGATCTGAATAATTGTATCAAGGTATTCATTTCTTTCATTTACATACTTTGATAACTTGTATTTATATATATCAAAACAATTATGTACCTTTCAGTTTAACATATATTCATTGGTGTTATGATTAATGAAGCTTTTATAAATGGAAATACTGGGTACTGCTAATATTTTCACAAGTAATTTAGATAAATGGACCCATTCGTTCACAAGTTTATGTGACTGCGCCATGTAAAACGGGCACTCACCAATGACATTATTGTGTTGAACTCTTTGGGTTGAAAGAGTTGTTTTGTTCAGCATTCGCTCGAGAGCTTCATGGGGACGATATGTTATCTGCCTTTTGATCGAAAATGCAGACATTTTGAATGACAAACAATGTTTGCAATGATAATATTTCCGATATGAAAATACCGGATGTTTACAACGTTGCTGGGTTGAGATGGGTCAATACAAAATAAGGAGTAGAGACGGAACGAAACGAAACTTAACTCCTTCCAAGTAATATGAGGCAGGTGTAGCATGTGAAAGAGGACGAATTCCGTATAAATAACTATTTAAATACTGATTTGTGCAAAATTAAAACTAGCATACAGTGCTTTTAAAAATATTATAATAATGAATAATCAAACTTCATGTTTTCGCCGCATGCGCTTTCATGATGGAGAGTTGTCTCATGGGCAATCAGTGGCGGATCCAGGGGGGGGGGGGGGGGGGGTTCCGGGGGTTGGACCCCCCTTTTTTGACGATCAATGCATTTGAATGGGGACATATAGTTGGAAACTCCCCCTATCCTGGGTTAGGAACCCCCTTTTATAAATGTCTGGATCCGCCCGCTCTGGCTATGATACCACATCTTACTTTATATTGTGAGCGCTCAACCGCCTCCCCATAACACGGTACAGCAATGTAACAGCACAAAATAAGACCAAACTGTTAAAATCAGATGGAATCTTCTTGACATATCAGATAATGATTGTTACAAAGGACAAACACACAACTAACATGAAAAAAACATAAAGAACTCACAGTTACTACAAATTAGTTCAAAGCCAATAACAACTCATAAATAAATCATATTACCCCAGACTAAAATATCAATCAGTATAAATCCAACGGATTTAGTGTAAAGACGACACAGACAGTCTAATCAAAGCACGGCATTTACGATATGCCAAAATATAGGTACATAATATCGACAGGACTTAGGACAATAAGTTTTCATAAATGTATAGCAATACATATTTAGTTATGTTTTTATTTATCAAAAAAACAAAATCAATGTTAGAACCGACGAAAACAATATTGAAGGATCTTACTATAGTGCTAAATGACACTTGCTCTGTGCGCTTACCGAAGTGTCACGGTTAAAGTCACTGCATACTGAAAAGCTGTTGGCGAATAACAGTGCCGGAAGACAATAACTGAACAGAAATTCATTTCTGAAGATTTGAATGAATAAAGGGTTTTCCTTTGTGAAAAAAAATCTATGTATACGTGTTTTATAGTCAAACTTAGCCATTTTAGTCTATAATTCACATCCAACTTTTGATTAAATTTGAAGTATTATATGACTTTAATAATTTACCAGTTACATTATTTAGGGTTCATTGAGGTGAATCAGTATCGAGGAAACAAGACTAGTACTATACTTATAAATCATGTTATAATGTATAATACAATAAACGGGAATACAAGAATGGTCAAAAGCATAAAACTCCATTCGAACTGTCAGTCCACTGATTTTTTCGCCGGTACGTGTTGATGGATGTATCAGTCAACTACATTATCCACCTCTTTTTTGACAGGAAAAGTAGATAGTTTTTGTGAAAATCGGAAATATTATTGTCATCCATGTAAAACTATTAACTATCAACGATGATTTTTTTTTAAATTTGATAAATACATACCGCAAAAAATGCTGTTTTTTTCCTGAAATCCTGAAACTTTGTTAAAAATTAATTATTTACAAAGAATTGTTTTACATATTAAGAGCATAATGAGGTAAAGAAGATTTTCATAATGTTTTTACAAAAAATCGGCTTGCGTTTATCTGTTGGAATAAAAAAGTTAGGTATGTCTATCCAAAGGATAGAAACGTCAAAAAAAATCGAAATTTTTAGTAAATGTCTAAAATTTCGACCCCTTTTATCTCTTAAAGTAGCACATGAAGGTATATTTTTTATTACATATTTGAATTGCTTAGGTGAAAAATAGCTTGTATGCAAATTTTCATAAAAAAATTCATCGTAGGATCGAAACTGTATCGACGTATGCCCTTAAATGCTTGTAATATTCCGAAGTTTCATTGAATGTCGCAGAATGTGAGACTTAGGGATACTTATTCGATGGACAGGGTTAGCTCTGTTTGAATTAAAAAAATATATTTTGGAAGATAGGAGAGCTGGATAGTCTGTATCAGGTATACAGACGCTTTGTGGTCTGATGGAATCGTTTGACATATGCTCATTGTCATTGACCTCATTTTTAGCTCACCTTCCCCAAAGGGCCAAGTGAGCCTTCTCATCTCTTGGCTACCGTCGTCCCTCATCTTCGTTAACGTTTTGCAATATCTTCTCCTCTGAAACTACTGGGCCAAATTTAACCAAAGTTGGCCACAATTTTCATTTTGGTATCTAGTTTAAAACACGTGTCCAATGATCCCGCCTGCTAACCAACATGGCTGACATGGCTGAAAATGGAACATAAGTGTAAAATGCAAGTTGTGTCTAAAATTTTGAAAACCTCTATGAATAGAGAAAATCTGACATTGTCAGAAATGTTCACAATCATGAGATCTACCTATTGTCCATATACATCAAAACTTCTAATTCCTATATAGTTTTAGTTTTATTGTCATATTTCAATAAAAAAAATCATCACAATTATTTGTACACTTTAAATTTAAACTGTAATTGTTCTGCTCCTCGGGGCGTCTTTTTTGACAAATAAAAATTGTTGTTGTTCTATGAATTATTTCCCTTAGATGACGAATTTTACCATTTTTTTTCATTTTTGCCTATTATCTTGAAAATCATAATAGATTGAGAGAAACTTCAAATGACAAATATGATCAGCAAGACAAGACCTACAAATATGCTAACAGGGTCGAAATCATCAGATGACTCCTTATTGGAGTTAATGTCCTTTAATGAAGATTTTTATCATTTTTTTTTCGTTTTTGCCTAATATTTGAAGAACTATAATAGATACAAACTTAAATAATAAAAAATAATCAGCAAGACAAGGTCTACAAATATTATAAGTTTGCCTTGTTGAATTCATTTGACGATCCCTTATTTGAGTTATTGCTCTTTAATGAAGGTTTCGCCAATTTTAGGCTTGTTCCCTAATATCTTAAAACATTATGATAGATAGATAGAAACTTAAATAATTAAAAATGATCAGTAAGATAAAATCTACAAATAAGTGTACTGGTCGAAATCGTCATTTCATTCCTTATTGGAATGTTTGCTCTTTAATGACGTTTTTCACCCATTTATAGCGTTCTTTCTCATATATTGAAAACTATTATAGATAGCCTCTATAAATAGCAAAAATGATCAGCAAGACTAGATCTACAAATAAGTCAACATAGTCGAAATCGTAAGTCGAATCATTATCAAAGTTCTTGTTCTTTAATGACGATGTTTACCAATATTTTATGTTTTTAACCAATATTCATAAACACTATAAAAAGATATAAAGACATTTTAAACAGCAAAGATGATCAGCAAGACAAGATCTACAAACAAGTCAATATTTGCCCAATTCCTTGGTAGACCATTTATAGGAGTGATAACCCTAAATTGACATTTTTTAAGCCCATTTTTTGTTTTAAGCAAAAACTAAAGAAGATGGAGAGAAAGTATAAACAAAAAATGACCAGCAATACAAGATCAATAAAAAAGAGATTTTGTCATGCATTGTTTTATGTCCGCAATGTGGGAGAGTGTCCATTATTGGAGATGCATAATATACCAAGGTGAGAGACAAAGTTTTTGTTCAGTGACCAATGTTAGGTTTTCCTAGAAAAAGACTAGGAGCAAAAAGCAAATATATTTGGTATATTGAATGATTGTTAGGTTTACAGATACTATAATAGTTCAAGAATATTGGGTTTATAGAATGATTGTGACATACAGGAGTTCTGACCTTGATCTCATTTCATGGTTCAGATTTCAACGCTAAGATTTTGTGATTAGCCATAGGTCCGTTTCTCTGATACTTTTTGTCTCTGTTTTAAGCAAAAGTTCAACTATAATTGGTAAATAGAATCAAGGACGTATTTGTTATAAATCCTTGTTAGAATGATTGTAAAGTGGCAATGACTCGTCCTTGATCTCACTCATTTTAATGATGCATTGGTCAACTTTAAGAGGTCGTGATTATGCCTGTTTCTTAATCAATATAAGTAGTAGGCCAAATATTTATATTTTGTGCATAGATAATTTTAAGGTTGTCTTGACATGTGCATCTTTAAAATATTAATCTACTACTTGTTCGACTCTAGTCATTTGAAGTTTGACATATATGTATTGTACTGACACCAGACTATTATTGAAGACTGTATATAGTACCTGTAACTTAGGGAGCTACCATTTGATTTTTATGGGGGAGCTAGGATGAAATTTGAAAAAAAAGGCAGGACAGAAGTTCTGAGTAAAAAAAAAGGCAGGACGAGCAACTTGGCAAAATAAAAGGCAGGATGACAAATTATGTATAAAAAGTCAGGATAAACTAATAAAAAAAGGCAGGATCGAGATTACAACTAAAAAAAAATGCAGGACACAATTTTTCATCCTAGCCCCCCCCCCCCCCCCCATAAAAATCAAATGGTAGCTCCCTTACCGGTATATAGAAAAATGATTTTTGGTTGATTTTTTGGTGTTTTAACGCCACTTTTAAGCACCGCTTTTGGGCTATTTCGTAGCGGCCAGTTTTTATTGGTGGAGGAAGCCAGAGTGCCCAGAGAAAACCACCGACCTTCGATGGGAAAACTGACAATCCTAGTCAACTAAGATTGGAGTCGAGTGCACCCGCACGAGCGGGGTTCGAACTCACAACCTCAGTGTTGACTGGCTAGTGATTACAGTAGTAACTACTTAGACCACTCGGCCACCGAGGCCCCTATATATATAGAAAAAGGGAGCCGGTGGTTCAGGTCTATAAAAACTTATTGAACCCCACCAAATATTCATTATCTGTACCAAATAAAGAGCTTTGTCAGTGGTTGTTTTATTGTATATTGTTATCTTTAGAATTTTGTGTTGATTGTTGAAATTGAGTGCGAGTTTCCAAAATTTAAGTTGATATCTCCACGTTTTGGATGTGGTTATTTGTTTCGCTGGGTTGTTCTCCCATTTGATGTATACCCCTCCCCCATGATTCAAATGGACATCCCCTTATAATGTTAACACTGCACATTTCAACAGAACTCATGCCGTCTGTGCAACTACCTTCTCAACTGTGGTCCTAATTGCACTGTTTTTAAAATGTATACAACATGGGTATTTTATGATGTTTCTTTTGACAAAAATAAGTCATAACTTGGTGACAGATTTGCATGGCTGTTTTGAATTCTGAGGAGCTAAATATGTATAAACACCCAAAATGTTCTGTTTCTTTCATTTCATGTAATTTCAGAATGGAATACTGTGATTTTTCAAAATATTTCATTCAAGGCAAAAAACCCTACATTCACTAGACAAAATCATAAGCAATGGATAATATCCTTTATGGCTGCTCTTCATCTCAAAGTCACAGTGGGGCCTTAAACATGGAGAAAAGGCTAAATCAAGAACTTGTGGAAGCTTATCAACAGATTTTGTATAGCCTTTACGATTTCTGAGCTACAGGGGACTAAATCCCAGGGGATTTTACATTGAAATTTCAGAGAAGAAATCTGAAAATTAAACAATCAGCTCCAAGAACTGTCAGTGCTGGTCATGTTATTTGCAGGACTGAAACAAAATGAGAGGTTCTTGAAAAGGAACTTTCATACATTATACTTGTTTTGGTAGAGACTGGTAATGTTTATATAAGAAGAGGATGAAAATGTGACTTCCAAACAATCCCTCCTGACAAGGGTGAAACGAACTTGCCATGTATTTTAAGACACAATAAAAATTTGACCATTCCAATAAAAAAATTTGCTAAATGGATTTATTTCATAAAGATCTGACAAATCAGATTCAAGACTACCATTTAGTTTGGAAGAATAAGAGCATAATATGTGGTATTTTGATATCCTATAAAGGCCCTTCAAGGCATTATTCCTACTATTAAAGATTGGTTCAGATTTGTTATGTTTTTTTTCGATGAAAAATAAATGTGATCTGTTTCTGGGTACAAAGTGAACATGTATTGATTCCTTGATGTAATGTATGCAATCTGATTACTTATGGGATATCATTTAGGTGTCATGTCTGCAAATCTTGGCAGAAGCTTTCTGATATCAAAACAATTTCTGTAATCTCCTGCTCTGTGCCCTCATTAACAATAAAGACTGGAGCATATTGTAGTTTATGGTTCACACAATGGACTGAAACAGTCCCAGTGCTCATTCATTTTTGTTATTTTTTTGTCATTAATGAATTATTTAAAAATATCACTGAGAAGAAAGTGATTCCATTCAAAATCACAGGAGACACAGGGACATAGAATATTCAGAATGGTGAAAACTTCCTATTCCATCAGGTCAAGTGGCTTACTGTACATTTAATATATACAATCAATTAAGCACAACCAATCAATTATACTACAAATTGATAAAAAGAAAAAACAAAATTGTCACTTCAGGAGGGTTGTATGTGAGAAAAAAGAAATCATGCAACAGCAGAAATGGGGTAAAACTGACCAGAAATTTTATTAAACAAAGAATGAAACTTAATTTAACAACAGCTAAAAGAAGTATTTTTTTCTTTTTTGTTACAAACATCAACTGCTTTTTGAAGCAGCAAATCACATTCAGCAATACTCTCAAAAATAATTCATGAAATTTTAATTGTTTCAAAGTTTTCATATAAATCTTTTTTTTCTAATGGAACTTAACACACAATCCCTGTCAAGTTCTAATTTGCCTTACAGTTTACTGAGAGAAAATGATGAAATTGTAAAATGTTTAACAGACAATAACATAAATGTATATATCACATTCTCCTTATAAGTATTATGAGATAAAATTAGCAACAGTGTGATAGTATCACAACAAAAAGCCAATCACATTGCAAAAACATTACATTGATAGATCAAAGTCGGGTGCACCAAAAACTTCAAAATGTCAGTTTTTGAAATGTGATATTTGCCGTGAGGAAGTCCTGTTGAATTTCAAATTACCATAAAAGTATTAACTTTCACAGATATTTATCAAATGATTATTCCAAGTCTGGTCTCAATCATAACATATTTTTTGAACTTTTATAAATTGTATAAATAAAAGAATAATATATGAGTACATGTAATTCATTTCAATGTGTACATATTTTCCTTTCTAAATCAAACTTTCTCTCTTGTTATTGATTTCCAGATTCCTCCATAATGAAAGCCATGTTTTGATTGGTTATTGTTTGTTAAACTGTATTGTTTTTCCCCATTGGACCATTCTGTGGCTTGTGATTTTGGTAACACATCATCTTCACTGGAAATTAAATCCACTTTTTCATCCATAACATGCAAGCAATCATACACATTATTAGTTGTACTGATATCCTCTAAATGTTTTTGTAAGATTTTATCTTGCATGTTCTGATAAATTGTTGTCAATTCTTTCGTCCTTTTTTGTTGTTCCAGTACAATTTTTGCAGCTCCTCTAGTCTTCCTTTGTTTATCTGTACGGTAATTCTTGTCATATGATTTTTTCTCCTTATGGTCTGTACATAAATGTGACTTTTCAAAACTTCCCTTTTTCTTACTCTTCTCATCATGCAATTTATCATTTGATTTGCTCAGGTTATTGTTATTTCTTAAATCTATTTTCACTTTTCCAGACTTTGAAGAATATTTTGTATTGCTATTTCTGCTTTCTTTGTGACTGGCCTTTTCTTTTTTGGAACTTTTAGAATATGGTCGTGTGAGAAATGGTTTATCTATTTTATTGCAGTCTGTTTTATTTTCTAAAGAAACAACCTTTTCACTTGTTTTTCTAACACTTTCACATGATTGGAAATATTTGTCAATTCTTGTTGTGAATTCACTTGGTAGTGATTTTTCTGATGTTTTAACATCATATTTTCTATGTTTGGGTTTCTCTTTATGATTCTTGTTTCTGTGTGAATGATTTTCTCTATACTCTTTATCATGTCTAATATTGTGTCTTGAGCTATGAAGTTGATCTGTTTTCATTGCATGTTGTTTTGATAGGTTTCTCCATCTTCTGTTTAAATCACAATCTTCTTTCCTACTTACTTGATATATTCTATGCATGTCTTTATGGTTTCTAGAATAGAGAACAATTTTGATTTATTGTCATGACAAAATTTAACATTCATGAGGGCTTGTTCAACATAAACATATAATACTAATTTCAGGGCAAATGATACATGCTACTTGAATGTTCTTTTTTAGGCATGCTCAAAGTAGTATTTATGTAAACATAATATGAGTATTTCTATACTGAGCATAAGACAGGTCAAACAGTTCATTTGGTATATGCAAAAATTTCAAACTTATAGATTTTAACACACAGCTATAACAAATAGATTAATGCATGCATAATATTGACGTATGGAAAGATGTTATAAAGTTATCAATTTCTAAATCATTTCTATACATAGATGTTCCCTGAAGTATTGCTTTCTGATAGTCACCAGATTACTTTTTTCTTTGAAGTAATGTGATTAGATAAGAAACCATTTTAAATTACTATTAATAAAGTTGTGCATATTGGTCTAGTTGATTAAAATTCAGCTTAAGCAACCCTTCATTTATAAGATTATATAGATTTGTTGCAAATTTTATCTTGAATATTACCAAGCAATATTTACAGTTCTAAATATTTTTTTTAATTTCAATTTTCACGCAGCAAAATCTTCATAGTGTTTGTACATAGGTTACAATACATGTTGATATGTGTTTTGGGGATACACTGTAACAGTCATTAATATGTACATCTGTGTGTCTGCACTGAATATAGGTATATAAAGAATTTTATCACTCTGTTGTTTACAAAGCGAAAGCAGCACATCATATTAGAATGAAGTCTATTCGCTTGATGTCGACCTATGATTTGTAATTTACAAATAAAACCCCAAAACAGATGTACATTTGAAAAATATTAATAAGAAAAAATGTGTATATTTGACAGCCATAGGTAGAACTAGAGGCTATAAAGAGGGTTTTGCTCACCTACATCATCAACAGTTGCCACATTTTTTTTGTAAAAATCTTCATTAAAGGGGAATAACAGTATTAAGAGTTAACTAAACGCATCAGGTAATTTTTTTTTTAAATTGTTATGTGGCAAGAGTCATTTGACATATTGTTTTAAAAAAGAAAGATATTAAGGTCAAGTTTACAAACTATTGTTAAAAATACAAGCAAAAAGATATAATTTTTTTCTTCACCAAATTAACTTTTCTCTTTGAATGCACTGAGAATGAATCAGGACAACTTTCTTTATATTTTTTTGAATACATTGGTCTGATTTTGGAAATATATCAACTTTTCATTGAAAATGAAAATGTAACCTAGAGTTACTACATGGACTCCTCTTTACCAGTGAATCAAGACAAAACAGGATAAAGCACCAAGTAATAAGAAATTAGATTATACCAGACTTAAAAACTAAAAGTGTGAACCATAATAATATGAACTTCCAGTCATTTTGATGTGCTTATAAAAGACATTACAAGTACCTCATAATATCATATGACTACACATACACTTTTCACATTTACTTTTGTGTAGAAAAATGAATAAGAAAACAAATGATATATGGTTTATCTGCTTGACAATGGATCTTTTATGATTTCTAAACAGACCCTAGCTGCCCCAACTCTGAGTCAAAGATTTCAAAGTTTTGTACAATGACTGCCCTCTAAAGTCTCACTACCCCAACTAGTCCCCTGACATTACATGTACAGCAATCTCAAACTAAGGTTAAAGATGACAGAAAAAATCATTACTTATGTTTTGAATTATTTCTACTGTCTAACTTCCTTCTTGGAATGTCTGGTGAGTTATCATCTTTCCTTCCTGAAAAGAGTGAAAAATCAAATATAAAAACTGTAATGTGATATATCGATTCATTCTTTACTGAAATCATGAAATATTATATATATTACATCTTGAAATAATTATTGATATGCCTTCAATTTTTTTCCCAGATAATCAGTGGTAGTGTGCACACCTATATTGTGGGAGGTTATGGCTTAGATTTAAAGACATTTTAAACCTAAGACCATAAAACTGTATTTGCTGTTTCTGTCAAACAATCCTGTTTAGCATGTCATGCTAGTACATGACAGGGTAAATTGGTACATAATTAACATAATATTGTCCTGAATATGCATGCAAGATTTGCTACTGAAAGTTTTTTGGTTAAATTTCAAAATTCTGAACAAACTATAAAATAACCTGCTGTATATATATGTTACGCTCAGAAACGAGTCCATCCCCCCAAACGTGTCCCATTCCCCCAAACGTGTCCATATAACATCACCGAACTCCAAAACATGTCTAGTTGTAAAAGGGCGCTAAAGTGTGTAATTTTTATAAACGCCCAAGCGTGTCCATTTTTATAAAACCGCCCAAACGTGTCCAATCTCACAAACGTGTCCAAGTGTCCATATGAAGCCTAAGTTATTCCTTTCTCTGAAAGCTCAATCGTGTCCAATTATAAAAAAAAGCCCAAACGTTTCCTCTGTTATTTGGTTATTGCTCTTTCATTGACGTATACTCCTCTTACTAGTCCATTGCAAATCAAAATACAATCCTTTAGGTTTTTTTATCAAACTAACGTTATAACCTGTGCCAAAGGGGGACCTCCGTTTGGCTGTGGGGGGTTTGTAAAAGTACGCAGCAATGTCATGTTATGATGTGGATATTAAATCAGATACCTTCTGTAGGGAGAATGCCAACGATTTACACATTAAAATCCTCATAACAACTCTTTCAGGGTGCCGTCTGTGGTATGTTGCAAGGCAACAATTTTGTCCCAATACATATACCCTTATTATCTAGTGGCAGTTAGAATTTCCCCAACTTTAATTTCAAACGGCCTCTATTATATAAGGGGGAATGAAGGAGTGTCATACTGAAGTCTCGAAAAATAAAGCGGTCTTTCCCCTCTCCCAAAAAATTATTATTTAATTCCGATTCCCGATTAGTATAAATTCCTAATAACCGTACACATTTAGGCCCAATCCCAAATTCCCGGAATAATAAAGGTACAATCCCAAAGTCCCAGAAAATATTCTTCCACCTCTCATTATAGAACTTACCTATAGTATTTATTGTTAATATGTTGTTGTCCTGATAATGCATGAAATATTTGCCACTGGATGTAATGTCTCTTGTTTGTGAGTCTTTAAGTGATGCTTGAAACCCAAAATATATAATATAAAACCTGAACACCAGTTTATAATTTCAAGAGCTTTTAAAAAAGCAGAACTGTTGAAAAAATTGGAAAACACCTATGCAGAAGGCGGCCGTGCACTATCCTCATACATGATTAATTTAGTAAGGCATCACCGCAGTTTTATTAGTACAAAATAACTTATTTAGTAAACAATTAATTTAACTGTTCTAAACTAATTTTTATGTTCGCTCTAAATATGCATGAAATATTTGCCACTAGACATTAAACAAGCAACAGTCAAGTTGCTAATCAATCTTGCAATTATGCTAAATATAAACAACTGGCGTTGAACAAACTAATGCTAATAAATTTTGAATTTCTTCTTTCAACTCTGTTCCTTTTTTAATTTCTGGTAATTGTGCCCAAAATACTTCTAGATTTATGTCTTTTGAATGCTGCTTTTAACTTATTTAGAATACAACCAAAACCCGACCTCTTCAATTGTGTCTGCCGTAAATGTTATTGACGTCATTGAGAACATAATAGCACTTAAATTTTTTAGATGTTCGTGCGTTTTAAAGTAGACACGTTTTGGCGAATAACAATTATCGGACACGTTTGGGCGATGTCAACTTTTATGGACATGTTTTGGGGAAATAGACACGTTTGGGGGAATCGCACACGTTTGGGGGGATGGACACATTTGGGAGTGTTACATATATATCCAAGTCATCTTACTGGCTTTGTCTACTTCTTTAAGTATATATATGAATGAATCATTTTAAAAGATGATATAATGTAAAAATGCCAATAAAAAAGCCTCATAACATAAAAGGCAGCTACAACTACTAACATATATGAACCAGAATATTATTTTTATGACATAGAAAACTGGAATTGATTCAACTGGAAATAAGGCTTTCCCTCTACCATATATACTGCATACACAATTTCCTTTCCATTTAATTCATCAAAAGCAGTTTGTCTAAAGGTAAGTTGATACTGTTTATGTCCCCCTTGTAAAAACTGATTAGACAGTGCCATATACTGTGGATTCATTTATTTGTATGGATTGATGAAATTTTGCATTTGCTAGGCTATTCTATTTCTTTGTTTTGTCAAAATCTACAAAAGTCTATAGAAAATTGGTAATTGGTTGAACATTTAAATTGGTGGTTAACATATTCCCACGAATAATAATAAATCCACAGTACATAATGTAATTTTTTTACTTTCATTTCTTAATCTAATTTAGCTGTCATTTTTGTATCCTCCATACTTTTCAAACTGTTCAGATGTGTTTGCAAAAAGAAGCCCATTTAAATTTCCAAATAATAATTTATTTAGTTACTTTATCTAGCAGATGTAATTATTGTGTTACTTTGTCTAGCAGATATAATTATTGAGTTACTTGTCTAGAAGATGTTTTTATTGAGTTACTTGTCTAGCAGATGTTATTATTGAGTTACTTGTCTAGCAGATGTTATTATCATGATTATTGAGTTACTTGTCTAGCAGATGTTATTATTGAGTTACTTGTCTAGCAGATGTTATTATCATGATTATTGAGTTACTTGTCTAGCAGATGTAATTATTGTGTGACTTCGTCTAACAGATGCAATTATTGAGTTACTTTGTCTTGCAGATGTAATTATTGAGTTACTTTGTCTAGCAGATGTAATTATTGAGTTACTTTGTCTAGCAGAAATAATTATTGGGTTACTTTGTCTAGCAGATGTAATTATTGAGTTACTTTGTCTAGTAGATGTAATTATTGAGTTACTTGTCTAGCAGATGTTATTATTGAGTTACTTGTCTAGCAGATGTTATTATCATGATTATTGAGTTACTTGTCTAGCAGATGTAATTATTGAGTTACTTTGTCTAGTAGATGTAATTATTGAGTTACTTTGTCTAGCAGAAGAAATTATTGGGTTACTTTGTCTAGCAGATGTAATTATTGAGTTACTTTGTCTAGCAGATGTAATCCCAGATTTATCACTTCCTGTGTCACTATCTTCTTTCTCACATAGACCTGGAACATCAATGATCTCATCTGAAACAAAAATTATTTATTTCACTTAAAAAATAAATACTCCTTCAACATATATGACATAAAAAAATTAATTGAAAATTAATGCCAATGAATTTCAAAAGGAAACAGCTGTAAACAAAATATTATACTGAAAAGCACAGTATGTAAGCATGTACATAAAATATGTATTTAGACGAGGTTAAAATTTTCAAATGCTTTCTCATTAAACGACTACATCACGACATAACAGGAGTAGACATGCTGGAATGTTTTTTTTGCGTATGGAAAATTACTGAATAATATTTTGAAAATGTTCATAACAAATTAATATTGATCTACTTCAAAAATGTACTACGGGGTGTTTAACGACCTTGACTACCTATAAAGTCTCACACGATCGGAAATATTGATCTATTTGTTAGATTGACATATTCACCTGACAATGATTGTATATACATAAAAATAAGTCATACGATGTATTTACTGAAAACTTCACATTAATAAACTGTTACTTTATCAATGAACCATGAAAATATGTCATTGTCAGACAATTCTGTCAGATGGATATGCACCTGAAAATTATTGTGCAGAGAAAATATAGTTGTTTCAAAATTGGTCATTAATCTGAGATACTTACAATTTTTTATTGATTGCTGCGTATTACTTTCAACAGTCCGGTCAACCTTACAGAGAGGCAAACTTCTAGATTTTGACATTATCGGCTCTGCAGTACTTTCAACAGCCTGGCAAACCTTCCACAAGGGTAAACATTTGGAACTTGACGGTGTTAAATCTGTAGTACTTTCTTCAGCCTCACCAACATTCCAGATAGGTAAACTTTTTGATTCTAATCGTGTTGGCTCTGTGGTATTTTTAAAAGCCGGGTCAACCTTACAGATAGGCAAACTTTTTGGTTCTAGCCAAGTTTGCCCAACAGTATTTTTTAAATCCTGGTCAACTTTACAAATAGGCAAACTTCTTGATTTACTTTTCAATCTGAACTTAAACTTTGGCAGTTTGGTGGGTTTGCTGGCATTTTCCAACAACATGTCAAAACTCAAATTAATCAAATCATTTTCTTTCAGCCTAGCTGGATCTACAAGAAAAAAATGTATGAAGTTATGAAGTGTAAAATAATATTTCATATACTATAACAATGTATAACATACTTCAATAACATTATAGATCAACAAGTAAATTGTGCACAGTTCCAAGTATGCACAAAATATGTTTTTCTCTCTTGTTTATTTATTTAAAAATAGATGAGGTTGTTGGTTGTCTCTTTGGAATATTTTCAGATTTAACATTGTTGTGCTGTTATTTAGAGTAATTATATACATATATATATATATAAAATGTCTACATGTAGATATTAGTCAACGATACATGTACAAAATAAATAAATTATATAAACGCCTAAAAAGTGTACAAAACAACACCAATATTAAAAAAAAAGAAACATTAAATGCAATTTTTTAAATATTGGTGTTGTTTTGTACACTTTTTAGGCGTTTAAATATATATATATATATATATATATGTGTTTAGTGTAAAAAGATGTATGAAATTTAACAGTTAAATTATTTTATTTTCATTTCAGTAAAATATGGTTCCAACAATAAACCATGAAAATTTGGAATCATTCTTTACAAAGAAATTATAGTCTATAGCTATATTTACACATGTAAGTGAATAAACAGATATTAATGTCAACCAAAAAGTTCTAACATTATAGATTCTTTATTTCAATATTTAGAAGATTGATACAGATTGATGGCAATAGCTCCTTTGATCCTAAAAAGGCCAGATGATTAATAGATGTCAAAATATATTGTACATTTGACATATTTGTGCTGACATCATTTGTTGCATCAAATTAACAAACTGCATATACATATACATGATATACATGTACAGTATGTTCAGGATAAAACTTCCACCATGTTAATCAATCAATTTGGTGTGCTTTTTAAACATGCAAAAAAAAACTGGTTAGCAAAAATTACCCTATATAAAAAAACCAATTGTATTATTATAGATTGTACATTAATGTATGAGTTATGTTTTACCTTTTTGCTGAGTGTTGGCAGCCTGATTTAAACCATGTGGTGCAAAATATGACTTCAGATGATTCTCATTATTCATTGATTGATTTTTATCATTACCATCATCTATAATGTCCTCTGTAACTGCAACACTGAAACTTTCCTGTTCAGATCTAGAAAAATGGTTTTCATGTTCAATCCTGGGCTTAGAGCTCAATTCAGAATATGAATGGTCACCTTTAAGCTTTTCAGTTTCAACAATACCTATTCTGCACTTTCTTTTCAAAGCAAACTGCTGTAAGTATGAATTGTTAAAGTTCTTTTGAATATTTTGTTTGTGTAAATCTTTATGCTGGTCAAACTGTTTGCTGTCCATCCACACAGCCTGTGACAACAGTTTACCACTTTCTGAGTTTTTAAAATTTATGTTTTCATTTGAAATATGTTTCTTGTCCACCAAAACATCCTGTGACAAGAGACTACCATTTTCTGCATATTCAAAATTTCTATTTTCAGTTGAAAAACATTTTTTCCCATTGAATTCAGAAACTTTATTTGTGTTTCCACTATTCACAGAATTACAAACATTACTACAATTGCTACTTTTAATGTGTTTGGTTTTAAACTTTCTTCTGAATTTTAAGACTGGTTGACTGTTCGAAGAAGTGTTTTGATATAGCTCATCAATACATCTATCAAGATAATTATACACTGGTATCACAAAGTCTGTCATACATGTATGGTTGTCCATTATCACTGTGTGGATTCTATGTTTATACTGTCATCATCTGAAATAAAATTAAACATGTTCATTGTACATTAGATACAGTGATTGATTGTTGGTGTTTTAATGTCACTTTCAGCAGTCTTGACAGCCAGAATTCCTAGAGAGATCCACAGACCTTCTGCAGGAAAACAATTCAATTAAGATCAGTGTCAAATGCATCTTGTTACAAGCAGCATTTCCAACTCACAACCTCAGTGTTGACAGGCTAGTGACCACTGTACATGTACAATATAAAATTAAAATGAACTACATTTACTGGATCATCTAGAATAGACGATACTGTGCAGATAAGGAAAATTTTTATATAAGTCGTAAAAATTGTTGACACTGACAAAAGCTATTTATTAAGACGAAATATTTGTCAACATGATTTTATAACATCATCTTCATAAATTACCATCTTATATTAGTACAGTTGTGCAAATCTTTAGACTTATATATATAATATAGAATAGAAGCATATCTATGCAGTCTCTGTTGTTAATACCTAACCTACGTCATGTTTGAAATTTTAGAATTGTACAAGTGTTGTTCAGTTTTACTACAAATTCAACGAGATTGTTATAGTTAAATCAGACTAGATTGATATGATTCATTTTACATCATAATCATGACATACTGATGAAGGATATCTGTTATCAGAAATATTTATAGATACTTACATTTAATGTTTCCTTTTTTTTAATATTGGTGTTGTTTTGTACACTTTTTAGGCGTTTATATAATTTTATTGTGTACAGGTATAGTTACTTGTAACAATCCAGCCCCCTCGTTAGAAAGATCGTTGACTAATATCTAGACGTTTTATATTACCCTTACTACTATCAAAGAACTTATTAACTTTTGTAATAAAGCTTATGAAAATAATGGTATTAACTATTTGGGGAGTGTTAAAAAATCTTTAGAGGTTTTAGATAAAATATGTGCTTTTGATGGTCCTTTTAATTCTGTTGACAGTTATGATTTTTCTACTCTCTACACTACACTTCCACATAATCTTATCAAGAAAAAGTTTTCATATTTAATTAAATAGTCTTTTGAAAAATCTCATTGCAAATTTATTTTATTTCGTTTAAAGCCTTTTTCTGTAACGAAAAAAGGGAAGTATGCTAGATACACTTACTGGAAATGTGAAGATATGATTGAAGCTTTAAATTTTCTCCAGAACAACATATATGTACGTTTCGATGATAAAGTGTATCGACAGGTAGTATGTATTCCTATGGGCACTAACTGGGCCCCTTTAATAGCAGATTTATTCCTGTATTGCTATGAATCTCAGTTTGTGACCAAACTCAGTAAAGACACGTCATTGTTACATTTGGTTGATACATTCAGCAATACCTACCGTTATCTTGATGATATTTTTTCGTTAAATAACCCAGAGTTCTCTAAATATACTACCAAAATTTACCCAAAGGAACTTACTTTAAATAGATCTAACATAAACAGCAGTAGTTGTCCTTTTCTAGATTTAAACATTTCAATTTGTAAAGGGAAACTCCATACTAAAATTTACGACAAAAGAGATGATTTTTCATTCCCTATTATTAATTTTCCTTTTTTAGACGGTGATGTTCCCTTTGGCTCCATCATACGGTGTTTATATATCCCAACTCGTTCGTTATGCCCGTGTGTGTAATGATGTCATAGATTTTAACGAACGTAATCAATGCATCACTACTAAATTATTAAGTCAGGGATTTCGTTACCATAAATTACTTAAAACTTTTACAAAATTCTTTCATAGATACAAAGATTTGATTAGTAAATTTGGCTGTACCTGTAGAAAACTTATTAAAAACAGTATTTCACATCCTAAATTTTATGGTAATATTGTACTAAAAGCGCGGAAATCACTATGTGATCTGTGTAAACTCATCGAACCTTTAAACAAACTTATTAGTAAAGGTTATCTTACCAATGTTGTAATTAGATCTTTGAATATAGTTTACATTGGCACAAATATCGATTTTGTCATCAGCAAATTAAACATAACTTAATTTGTATTCTTTTCAAAGGGTTTTTTTTGGACGTATAAATACAAATCCACTTTCATTTTCTATAGAGATTACTCTATCTATATATAACATTATACATATTTATTAAAAGGTTAACTCCTGACTATCCTACTGCCTATGATACTTTTATTTTGGCATTGCACAAGTCATGTCTTCTTTGACTGTCCATGACCTTAATACACTAAATCCCTGGGATGTTTTAGTTGATTTTAGTCTCTGATGCATGATTTTTTATTATTAATTGTTTTTGGCTTTAACTAGCTTTCAGTAACTGCGAGTACTACTCTCAAATTGTATTTTCGTGTTAATTTGACCTGTTGATAAAATTTGTAATGCATTTTTGTTATTCAATGTTTACTTATTTAGTGTTATATCTCGTCTTACTATTTTTAATATATACCACCTGCGATAAGTGTTTGGTATGACGATAAATTTTTTACTTCTGTTCTCGTACTATGAACAAAAAAAATATTTCCGTACTCCATGTATACCTTGCAACAAAATTATTTTTATTTACCTGTGTACGTTATTTTATTTGGCGGCATTTTGTCCAAGGTTATGGTTGTCTTTCTGATATTGTTTTACATCTAACCCCCTTGTTTTATTAATTTTGTATTTACATGTACATTGTGTCATAAATCAAATTTATTCGTTCAGTGTATGTTCACTTGTTTTTGTTAATATGTCTTTTGATTGAGTTAAGCCATTTCAATTGATATTTTATAGTGTGTCTTTCTATGTTGTGATGTTACACTATTGTTTCTGGTTAGGGTGAATGTTGGTGCCTATTAAATCGTTTAAACCCGCTGCATTTGTTTGCACCTGTCCTAAGTCAGGAACCTGATGTTCATTGGTTGTCGTTTGTTGATATGGTTCATACTGTAAGTGTTTCTCGTTTTTTATATAGATTAGACCGTTGGTTTTCCTGTTTGAATGGTTTTACACCATGTACACTAGTCATTTTTGGGGCCCTTTATAGCTTGCTGTTCGGTGTGAGCCAAGACTCTGTGTTGAAAGCCGTACTTTGACCTACATGTATAATGGTTTACATGTACTTTTACAAATTGTGACTTAGATGGAGAGTTGTCTCATTGGGACTCATACCACATCTTCTTATATCTATATAAACATGATAAAGTTTGATATAATTATAATTTTTGGGAATGCCTTACTACCAACATATTCATCATTTTTCATGATATTAAACAAATGAGAAACTCTAAATGAATTAGATTTAGAATTTGAAAACTACATGCACATGTATTGACTATTCATGATTCTGCATTTGGTTCTAAAAACACCAATAGTCTCATATATGTATGAGCATGATGAGCATATGTTGTGAATTAATTATATTTGCTCCTTACGAAAAATGTACATGTTGAACCTTAGATGCATCTATAAGCAGCCACAACCATTGAGATGATTGACAACATACAATGAATGTTACTCTACAGAACTTTTTACTGCACATAAAAACACAAACAAACCAAATATGAATAAACTGTTATCACAGAGATATGTCTCGCCTTTTTGTAATTTTGATAATGCAAATGTTGAAATTAAAATAGCAATACTTTAACATGAAAGTTATGCAAATTTTCAAAGTCGATGAACCATGACTGAAGGTACATGGCTAAACAATCTCCATGGAATGAGATGTGCCAATGCTAATACAACTGCATACCAAATACCATTGACATGATTGACTTATTATAAGTCATTCCCTTTAAACAAACCTAAACACAAACATTAACTTGTAAACTATGTAAAAGTTTCAAAGTCAATGAACCATGATCAGGGTTGGGGCTACATGTATATAATCTCCATGGAAACAATCTTGCAAATGCCAATAAATTTGCATACCAAATATCATTGACTTAACATTAGCAGTGCATCTTAAACTGGTCTAATCACAAACTAATACATGTAAACTAAGCAAACGTTTCAAAGTAAATAGACCATGACTGAGGGGGCGGGGCCAAATATTCTCCATGGAAATAAGATGTGCTAATGGTTATACAACTAAACACCAATTAACATTGGCGTACCACTAATGGTTCCCCTTGAACTGACCTAATCACAAACTAATACATGTTAACTTACCAAAATTTTCAAAGTCTATAGACCATGACTAAGGGGGTGGAGCCAAATAATCTCCATGGAAATGAGATATGCCAATGCTTATACAACTGCATACCAAATATCATTGACCTACCACTAGTGGTTCCCCATTAATTGACCTAATCACAAACGAATACATGTAAACGATGAAAAGTTTCAAAGTCAATAGACCTTGACTGAGGGAGCGGGGCCAAATAATCTCCATGGTAATGAGATGTGCCAATGCTAATACAACTGCATACCAAATATCATTGACCTACCACTAGTGATTCACCATGAACTAGACCTAATCACAAACTAATACATTGTTGACGCCGCCCTCACCGACGCCGGAAACGGCATACCTATGTCTCGCTTTTTGACTCTGTCAAGGCGAGACAAAAATAAGAAGACTTGACATGCACATGGTGATATGGTTATGAGATAAAATAAATAAATCATCTTACAATTATTTTTTTATTTCCAGTCTATGTATTCATAAATTTATCAAATTATTACAGGATAGTTTCAGTATATGGGTGTGGATAGTTTACATGTACTGTACATAAAAGTATCCGGAGGAAACATGGATCTTTTCAATATTTTTACTCTGACTTCTGTTATTTTCCATTGCTGACAATAATGGAAATATCCAAGAGAAACAAAAACACCAAATGATATAATTTATCACATGATTGACTTACCCGAACCCTAAAAGATAAAACCAGAGTAAATCTTAACACAATACTCACATAATCATTAAAGCACATTTTTACAGGGCAAAAAAAGTTGTGAAAGGAAGCTACTAATCATCAAATGATTACAAATACATGATGATCTTTCAATAGGTGCTTTTCCCCAGAAAAATTTGACGGTACAAAGCAAATAGCTTTACTTCACAATGTACTATGACGTGTTTTCCTCCAAATGAACCCAGGTCAACTGGGGCAGTTCAATCATAAAATCTAAATTGAAAAATCATGTATTGATGTATTTAACTTGCTAACTATGTTATTTAACACACAGAGATTTATGTAAACAATAGTAAGTCAATATGGGGATTGTTTTTAATTTGATGCATTTAGCAGAATCAGACATATATAAATATGTCTCTGGCAGAACAGTACATGTATTTATAAAATCAATGAAAACCTGACATACACAAATTTATAAAATGATATTGTGTCATTGATAAATGGCAGTTTAGAAACTTCTTAAGCCAGTACTAAATGTGGACAATTTGATTTCTCTTGAGAACAGGTAAAATATCATGGTCAGATACCTGGAAAATGTTAAAAAGGTTATTTTCGAACCCTGTGGCTGTGCCATCAAAACTAAGAGTCTAAAGCAGATCATGATGGCATCTATTTCTAACAGTCAAACCCGTTTCATGGCAATTAGTTATTCAGTCCAATTGTTGTGTATTCTCAAAGGACTTCAATTAAAACAAAGAAGTAATCATACAAACTGACCAACAGATAAACGGCTGCCAAACAATTTACTTACTTACTCGTTCGAAATTCCCTCTTCAGGCTCTTATAATTTCTTAACTTCACGTTGAAGAGTGGTGATGATATATCTGGTATACCAAAGTTTTATCAATTAATGTAAAACACAGGAAAGAAACTCTTTAAATACTAAGTTATAAAGTAAGTAGGCCAGTAAATACTTTTTTTTATTAATATTATTATTTGTTGCACATTTAAAAAAAAAAGAGGTAATATTCCCTGATTACCAATCTACTGTACAGTACTTGAATGATGGATTCGTCATACTAAACCAACTTGTCGGTCAAATAATTTAATTAATGGAACTAAACTCTGATCATTGTAATTGGATTATTATCAATAACAAACACATAAGCACTCCACAAGTATAAATCAACAATAGTATGATATATGGCAAGCCGTTTTTATATTTATTCAATTTCAAGATATCTTAGAAGGTAAATAAGATATCTAATAAAGTATATAAAATATCTTGTATTCTATATGAGATAGCTTATTTAATTTTAAGTTAATAAGATATCTTATATACTTTATAAGATATCTTATATACTTTATAAGATATCTTATATACTTTATAAGATATATTATTAACTTAAAAAGATATCTTTCATGCCAAGAAATCCTCGCTAAAAATTCCGGTCGACCTCCTACGGCATCAATTAGTAGTTAAAGATTTGATTTCATTCAATAAATTAATTTATGACCCGCGTGTACGTCTCACTTAAAACACAGCCATATACCAAATGGTCAAAATTAATCATCCATGTAATTTGCTCTATGGGATGTTTGCAAAATTTCAACGGAGGCAATTTCTTGGCATGGGAGAAAGGAAGAAAGACCATTCACAATTTGTCTTACATTTGTTTTTCTCTCTTTCAATCAAATAAAAAAAAGTTAAACCTTTCAGATGTAGAGTTCATATAAGAAGGAAATATTCCCTGTGGAACACCCCCACCCCCCACCCCCTTTTTTTTTGTGCTCTCTATTTTCAACCCTCTTATCTAAATAAAATTAAAACTTTGATTTCTAACCGATCTATTCATGTACCGGACAGGCAACTTTTTTTATTTAATAAGAAAATCTTCATTGCCGTTATACACATGCATGTTGATTGCTTGGAGTCCCCGCCCGAAAAGAAAGAAATAGTCTAACTCCAAGATACTATATTCCTGAATCACGTGATTTTTACTACGTGGAACTTAAATTAGAATAAATACCGAATATGGAAAGTGAAACTACAATCCATAACATAAAGTCCGTTGACAAATAGAAGAAAAAGAAGATTATTTTTGGCAAAGGGTACCGGGGTAATCCTCTTTGTGTTCAAAATATACTTGAAATATTTGCCACTGCCCCTTGTGTCGGTTCTATGAATGTTTACCCTGAGTTGTCTGTCTGTTACGGGAGAAAGGAAGAAAGACCATTCACAATTTGTCTTACATTTGTTTTTCTCTCTTTCAATTAAATAAAAAAAAGTTAAACCTTTCAGATGTAGAGTTCATATAAGAAGGAAATATTCCCCGTGGAACACCCCCACCCCCACCCCCTTTTTTTTTGTGCTCTCTATTTTCAACCCTCTTATCTAATTAAAATTAAAACTTTGATTTCTAACCGATCTATTCATGTACCGGACAGGCAACTTTTTTTATTTAATAAGAAAATCTTCATTGCCGTTATACACATGCATGTTGATTGCTTGGAGTCCCCGCCCGAAAAGAAAGAAATAGTCTAACTCCAAGATACTATATTCCTGAATCACGTGATTTTTACTACGTGGAACTTAAATTAGAATAAATACCGAATATGGAAAGTGAAACTACAATCCATAACATAAAGTCCGTTGACAAATAGAAGAAAAAGAAGATTATTTTTGGCAAAGGGTACCGGGGTAATCCTCTTTGTGTTCAAAATATACTTGAAATATTTGCCACTGCCCCTTGTGTCGGTTCTATGAATGTTTACCCTGAGTTGTCTGTCTGTTACGGGAGAAAGGAAGAAAGACCATTCACAATTTGTCTTACATTTGTTTTTCTCTCTTTCAATTAAATAAAAAAAAGTTAAACCTTTCAGATGTAGAGTTCATATAAGAAGGAAATATTCCCCGTGGAACACCCCCACCCCCACCCCCTTTTTTTTTGTGCTCTCTATTTTCAACCCTCTTATCTAATTAAAATTAAAACTTTGATTTCTAACCGATCTATTCATGTACCGGACAGGCAACTTTTTTTATTTAATAAGAAAATCTTCATTGCCGTTATACACATGCATGTTGATTGCTTGGAGTCCCCGCCCGAAAAGAAAGAAATAGTCTAACTCCAAGATACTATATTCCTGAATCACGTGATTTTTACTACGTGGAACTTAAATTAGAATAAATACCGAATATGGAAAGTGAAACTACAATCCATAACATAAAGTCCGTTGACAAATAGAAGAAAAGAAGATTATTTTTGGCAAAGGGTACCGGGGTAATCCTCTTTGTGTTCAAAATATACTTGAAATATTTGCCACTGCCCCTTGTGTCGGTTCTATGAATGTTTACCCTGAGTTGTCTGTCTGTTACGGGAGAAAGGAAGAAAGACCATTCACAATTTGTCTTACATTTGTTTTTCTCTCTTTCAATTAAATAAAAAAAAGTTAAACCTTTCAGATGTAGAGTTCATATAAGAAGGAAATATTCCCTGTGGAACACCCCCACCCCCCACCCCCTTTTTTTTGTGCTCTCTATTTTCAACCCTCTTATCTAATTAAAATTAAAACTTTGATTTCTAACCGATCTATTCATGTACCGGACAGGCAACTTTTTTTATTTAATAAGAAAATCTTCATTGCCGTTATACACATGCATGTTGATTGCTTGGAGTCTCCGCCCGAAAAGAAAGAAATAGTCTAACTCCAAGATACTATATTCCTGAATCACGTGATTTTTACTACGTGGAACTTAAATTAGAATACATACCGAATATGGAAAGTGAAACTACAATCCATAACATAAAGTCCGTTGGCAAATAGAAGAAAAAGAAGATTATTTTTGGCAAAGGGTACCGGGGTAATCCTCTTTGTGTTCAAAATATACATGAAATATTTGCCACTGCCCCTTGTCTCGGTTCTATGAATGTTTACCCTAAGTTGTCTGTCTGTTACATGCCAAGAAATCCTCGCTAAAAATTCCGGTCGACCTCCTACGGCATCAATTAGTAGTTAAAGATTTGATTTCATTCAATAAATTAATTTATGACCCGCGTGTACGTCTCACTTAAAACACAGCCATATACCAAATGGTCAAAATTAATCATCCATGTAATTTGCTCTATGGGATGTTTGCAAAATTTCAACGGAGGCAATTTCTTGGCATGGGAGAAAGGAAGAAAGACCATTCACAATTTGTCTTACATTTGTTTTTCTCTCTTTCAATCAAATAAAAAAAAGTTAAACCTTTCAGATGTAGAGTTCATATAAGAAGGAAATATTCCCTGTGGAACACCCCCACCCCCCACCCCCTTTTTTTTGTGCTCTCTATTTTCAACCCTCTTATCTAAATAAAATTAAAACTTTGATTTCTAACCGATCTATTCATGTACCGGACAGGCAACTTTTTTTATTTAATAAGAAAATCTTCATTGCCGTTATACACATGCATGTTGATTGCTTGGAGTCCCCGCCCGAAAAGAAAGAAATAGTCTAACTCCAAGATACTATATTCCTGAATCACGTGATTTTTACTACGTGGAACTTAAATTAGAATAAATACCGAATATGGAAAGTGAAACTACAATCCATAACATAAAGTCCGTTGACAAATAGAAGAAAAAGAAGATTATTTTTGGCAAAGGGTACCGGGGTAATCCTCTTTGTGTTCAAAATATACTTGAAATATTTGCCACTGCCCCTTGTGTCGGTTCTATGAATGTTTACCCTGAGTTGTCTGTCTGTTACGGGAGAAAGGAAGAAAGACCATTCACAATTTGTCTTACATTTGTTTTTCTCTCTTTCAATTAAATAAAAAAAAGTTAAACCTTTCAGATGTAGAGTTCATATAAGAAGGAAATATTCCCCGTGGAACACCCCCACCCCCACCCCCTTTTTTTTTGTGCTCTCTATTTTCAACCCTCTTATCTAATTAAAATTAAAACTTTGATTTCTAACCGATCTATTCATGTACCGGACAGGCAACTTTTTTTATTTAATAAGAAAATCTTCATTGCCGTTATACACATGCATGTTGATTGCTTGGAGTCCCCGCCCGAAAAGAAAGAAATAGTCTAACTCCAAGATACTATATTCCTGAATCACGTGATTTTTACTACGTGGAACTTAAATTAGAATAAATACCGAATATGGAAAGTGAAACTACAATCCATAACATAAAGTCCGTTGACAAATAGAAGAAAAGAAGATTATTTTTGGCAAAGGGTACCGGGGTAATCCTCTTTGTGTTCAAAATATACTTGAAATATTTGCCACTGCCCCTTGTGTCGGTTCTATGAATGTTTACCCTGAGTTGTCTGTCTGTTACGGGAGAAAGGAAGAAAGACCATTCACAATTTGTCTTACATTTGTTTTTCTCTCTTTCAATTAAATAAAAAAAAGTTAAACCTTTCAGATGTAGAGTTCATATAAGAAGGAAATATTCCCTGTGGAACACCCCCACCCCCCACCCCCTTTTTTTTGTGCTCTCTATTTTCAACCCTCTTATCTAATTAAAATTAAAACTTTGATTTCTAACCGATCTATTCATGTACCGGACAGGCAACTTTTTTTATTTAATAAGAAAATCTTCATTGCCGTTATACACATGCATGTTGATTGCTTGGAGTCTCCGCCCGAAAAGAAAGAAATAGTCTAACTCCAAGATACTATATTCCTGAATCACGTGATTTTTACTACGTGGAACTTAAATTAGAATACATACCGAATATGGAAAGTGAAACTACAATCCATAACATAAAGTCCGTTGGCAAATAGAAGAAAAAGAAGATTATTTTTGGCAAAGGGTACCGGGGTAATCCTCTTTGTGTTCAAAATATACATGAAATATTTGCCACTGCCCCTTGTCTCGGTTC